TATATATATATATATATATATATATATATATATATATATATATATATATATATATATATATATATATATATGGTGTGCAGTACCAAACTGTACCGCCCGGTCGGGCGGTACGTATCGGTCCGAGTGCACTGTAGCATAGCTACAGTACTCGGCACACCTAGGTGTACCGCTCGGTATACCGTACCGTATCGGTACCGAGCCAAGGTCGAAACACCGGTGCGGTGCGGTATTGCGCCCTTGTGTGTGTATATATATATATATATATATATATATATATATATATATAAAATTCGACGATGTCGTTGAAGCGACGTCACCTCTCTCTTCTCTCGGGCGGGGCAACATCGCCAAGTTTATATATATATATATATATATATATATATATATATATATATATATATATATATATATATATATATTTCGTTCCGTCCGGTAACAAGCGGTCCGTGTACCTAACAGACTGGTACGTATCCCCCGTACCAGGCGGTATTATTCGAAATTGCATACTTTGCTTAAATCTTTATTTATAGTTTCTACTAAGGTCTTTTTAGGTCCTCCTCGTACCTTTCCTCGTATCACTAATATTAACCATTTCAAATCATAGCAATATATCCGGTGTTAACATTGTAATTAAAACTTATCTAATGACACTGATAATCATAGTTGAAAATGTTTATCATATTTTGTTGAACTGTACCAGTTAAATTAGCATATTCATGACAGATCATACAAAACCTAACACTGGTGGAAGCATATAAAGATTACTTAAACCAACTGTATCTTGTTCTTGCAGGATGTTAACCAGAGTATGTTTCTTTTCCCTTGCGTTTCAAGTGTCCATGTTCATATACTACTAAGACTTGGCATGTGCGTGAATATGCATGTTCTTGCATTATTTGAGTTTAATTTGATTTTTTTTTCATGAATAACCATGTTCTCCTTGTTTCTGACTTTTGATAAAAATATTTAAGTTAGATATATGAAAAATAAAAGGAATGTCACTTTCAAGGAATAAGCTGGTTTGAAAATGTCGTCTTTTGGTATTTTGGGTAGTTAAAACACTGATTCTTGTCACTTCTGTTTTCTTGGATTGCAACCTTGTATCCTTGACTTATATGCTTGAAGCCACAATGTGCCAGCTGGGACTCATCTGATTGAAGTAGCTGCATTAGGTTATTTCTTTTCTCCGGTAAGATTTTCTCTTTTAGTTTGTTAGTTTAACCTGGTAAAAATCAAGAGATTACTTCTTTTCTTGTATTCTCAGGTTCGTGTTGATATTAGTGCTAGAAACCCTGGTAAGATCCAGGCAGCACTGACAGAGAACAGAAGGGTTCTATATGAGTTGATTCTAGAGCCTTTAAGAGAAGAACAGTACTATGAGGTGAGCAATTACAAGCTACTTGCTACTCTTAGAGCTAGTAATTGAGCATTAATTATGTTCTTATTATTGTTTTGCAGAAGAGGGAACCTTTTTCCATTATGTCACTAATGAAAAGTCCTATGGGTTTAATGATGGGTTTCATGCTATTGGTGATGTTTGTCATGCCAAAATTGATGGAAAATATTGGTAAGAAAATTTTCACCAGTATCTCATTTATTTGGTCCTGATGAATATGACCAATGATGCATTTATACACGAGTTAGCAATCTGATCAATTTTAGTAGCGTATCTACTCCTAAAATGGATTTCAGATAGAAACCAGATCATTTGTAAAACTGGTGAATGGTTACCAGATAAGAAGATGCTATACCTTGCAGAAACTGCAACTGTGTTATGAGTGAAAACCAGAATGGCTTTTCATTCCGCCCATGTAGATTCAGCCACATGTAACTTCACTGTTCAATATCTCTAATGTTATGTTCTCAGTCAAAGTAAATTTGAAATTCTTTTTGACAACTCTGATCTGACTACCTATATCCTTGCCACCAAATCTTCCATGCAATTCCAGGCTTCTTTTACTTCTGTCTGTTATCTATAAGCATTACCTTGAATGATTCTTTGTCACCTTATCCTCTTCTCATCATGAACAAGTTGTGAGACATAAGTTTTATAGGTACCAAGCTTCCATTCTTGCCCAGGAAACTGGCCGACCTTATATGAGGTTCTAACATACAATGTAGTCCTTTGTTATTACATTCTTCCGAGATCATGCATCTGTTGTAGCATAGCTCATGCTACAAACAAAAAATGACTGAATTAAAAAAGTGTATTTGCTTATTAACTGCCATCTGAATTCACTAACTTGTGTCTTTACTCATCATCCAGAAAAATGTATTCACCAGTTCATCCAATATATATCTATTTGAAATGCATAGAACCAGTATCGGTGATGCCTAATGTGTTTTTTAATAGTTTGTTTGACATTGTTAATTTGAAATCATCTTACACAATGCAATATGTAGTTCTTTTTCCTTTGGTCAAGGTATATGATATTTATTTGTTTTTGGGATCAGATCCTGAAGAAATGAGGCGAGCTCAAGAAGACATGAGGGCCCAAGGGGTTCCTTCTCTTTCGAGTTTGTTGCCCAGGAGCAATTAGTTTCTGAGAGATTCATACTGCCGAAACTGGCAGTGGCATCTGATTTAGTTGACATCTGAATACCCAGGAAGACCTGTAACCAAAGATTTTCTCATGGAAGATCCTATGGGCTGTTTGTTATTTTGTTTATGTCTGCAAAATTGATTGATATATGCCATCTGATCTCCTAATCTTGCATGATTGTTCCATTAAGCATTCTTAGCAACTTCTTCGTTTTGGGCCTGCGGCATAATAGACAGTTTCTTTTAGATTATGTTCTTTTCTTATTGATTGGTGAATTTAATTTCGCTAGACACTGGTTTGGTGTTTGAGGCATAGTATATTTTTGTTGGGAATGAATTGAATCTTCAAACTCTTATTTTCCACAACTAATATTCTCAACCAGTTGATTGGTGCCGATTCTTCTGTTACAGTTTCTATCAAGAATATTTTTTTATCAATGATTATTCAAGGAGCTGATTATGTAAACTTCTTTTCCGAGTTTGATCCTCAAATCATTTTTTCGTGTCGTGGCTATACTTTCTTTTGGCTCTGCAGCAGTAACTGTACTCCCTTCAGTAACACAAGTCCCTTGATACTGGCGACTTTTTAGCTTCATGGTTATCATGCTCACTGGATTTACAATTCCCAATTGTCCTTGTCCTCGAATGTTTTGTTCACCTTTTTTTTTTCTCGTACTCCATCGTGTTTGTGCTTTTCAATAAGAACTCAGCTGCAGATGAAATGCTATGCTCGGTGGCTATCATCACCTTTGCCAGCTTAAGATGTAGTTTGCAGAATGGATTTGTTTTGTTCCAAGTATGCCCGTCTCTTTTGTATGACAATTAACCATGCACCGATAATAAATGGCCGACCTTTTGTTGATCTCGAATCATTTTGTGAGTGTTTTCTTATGTTTTGGCTTCGATATGATCAGCTTTACCTGTAATCAATGTCATAATTAGAAAATGTTCTTCAAATACCTTTGTATTCCCTTATGCATTATTATTTCTAAGATTAAATCGGAACCATAATAGATCGGATGAAGTTTTTGGATGTTCGCATCTATTTGATCCAACTCACAGCGGGTTCGATTTATCCTTTTTGATCCAAATCGGATTTGATTAAGACTCGCTTTGGATCCGACCCGTAACGGCCTTTCCTACGCCCTTGCCCGCTAATGTGATGAGCAGTGTGGCTTGCGCCACTTGACAACTCGAACTTGTGGCCGTTATGAGCTCGCTTACTTGTGGAGCCCGCCGGCTGCCCCACTCTCGGCGTCGCGTGGCGCCGTCCTCTCCTCTCCTTCCCATTTCCGCGTCTATAAAAACCCCGACTCCAACCAAAGATGGCAGCGGAGCTCTACCTCCTCAAGTAGTGGAGCGAACGATCTTGATCGGTAATGGCTCCGCATGTCGTTCTCCAATCCGATCTCTGTTTACCTCTCCGCCACCGATCTCCGCCTCTCCCCATAGCCCCACGAACCGCTCCCTCCCACCGCCTCCGCCTCCTTTCCCTCCCCTACCGGCGGCTTGCCGTTAGGGTTTCGTCCTCCGGGAGCAAGAACAAAGGGGCGGAGCAGCAGAGAGGTGGGCTTCAGACCGGTTTCCAGAGGGATTCTGATGGTGAGCGTCTGACTGTTGAAGTGGAGCAGGAGGAGGTGGAGGGGAGAGGAGGGAGCGACGAGAGGTATCAGGGGTCTGAGTGGAAGTGGCCGCCTTGGAAGCACTTGCCGCAGCGGTATAAGCTTATCGGAACGACGTCGCTTGCCTTTGTTATCTGCAACATGGATAAGGTACGTTATGTCACCCTAGACTCGATCTTGTTTTCTCTCTTCCGGTGGGTTGATTTGGCTACTGAAGAACCTGAAGAACAGTTTTACTTGGCAGCTTTTTGATTCTTGATACAAAGCGGCCTAATTTCATTCTTTAAAAAGAGTTGGATCAATTGAATTAAATCAAGAAACTCAGTTGAAAAACCAAGGTGAATGAAGGATATTGAACTCATGAGTTGTGCATTTATAGGCAACTTTGTAAAGTTGTGAATCTTTGTTCCTGACCGTAAACCATAAAGCACAAGTTAATGAAAAAACCTGCTTTTAAGGATCCTTTGGTTATGACGACATATAAATGGTTGGATAGATATTTGCTGGAACATAAGGTTTTTTCAGTATTTTTTTTGGGCGGAGAGAGATGTTTTTGATCATTTTATTGATTAGATGCTTTTTTTGGTGTTTTGGACATAAGTTTCATTTTATTTAAAATCCTCACGAAGGCTCAATTTCTAATCATAGAAATTATGAACTGTCTTTTGTCCTTCATACAATCTGTGATTATTTTTGTTGATTGGTTTCAGGTTAACTTAAGTGTTGCCATCATACCTATGTCACATCAATTTGGCTGGAACTCATCAACAGCTGGCTTGGTTCAATCATCTTTTTTCTGGGGATATGCCTTGAGTCAGTTACCTGGAGGATGGCTTGCCAAGTTATTTGGTGGAAGGTTAATATGAGTGATGCTGCCCTTCTTATTTTTATGGAACAAAAAAATTATATTTTAGGCACTATATTTATGCTGTATAACATTAGCACTTTAGCAGGCTATATCTGTTAACTGAAGTAGCTAAGCTAGTTGCCTCTGTTTGGAACCATCTAAATTGTCTATGATCAAATAATATATTCGATTGATGAGAAGCACCTATCTAACTAGCAAATAGTTCTGGTGACTTGGTTGCTCTTCATTCTTTTTTCCATCTTTTGTTATAAGGAAAAGATTGTTCTTCATTCTTGAACCCTTCCCTGACTCTTTGGTTCATGAAACCTATGTGTTTATGCCTTTCTGAAATCTGAATAAGTAAGATGCATATTATAAATTACTGAGTTGCAATAGACAACATAGTTGGGTTGCTTGAAGATATAAGCTCTTTTTTGTTTTGAACAGTTGTATTTTTCAGAACTGAAAGGTTTAACAGTTAATTAGACTAAGTTGATATCTAATAGAGTATTATATTTTCAAACTCACTTATTAAAGGTCGAGGGTTCAAAACCTCATCCGATATATTTTTGAAGGTACTAGCTAGCTTAGTTAATAAAGACTTTGATAGATTATCGCAAAGTCCTACACTTGAATTCCGCCCTTCGCCACTTACCCTTTGCACAAAAAAAATATTGTAAATTCTGTTTGTATGCTATCTAAAATTTACATTGCAGAAGAGGAAACATGCTTGCAAACTTTCTTTTCTGATTTGCTCATTGATTTTCTATTTGTGACATTTGGTACCAACAGTTAAACCTTTAACTTCTGCACCTTTGTATCTACCATGCGCTTTCTTTCATGTCTCTGTTTTGTATTATTGCTTTGTCTTTCTGTACTCACGTGTATGCATATATGATTACTTTAACAGAAATTTCAATATCTTAGATAACTAACATAATGCTTACCTAAGCTGATTATCATCTTGTAATCGTAGGAGAGTTCTAGAAGTAGGTGTGCTGGCTTGGTCATTGGCAACAATACTTGTTCCATTTGTGGCAGGGTTTATGCCAGGACTGGTTTTATCAAGAGTATTGGTAAGATGAAGCTTGCACCAAGACCTCTAGCATTTGTTATGCATTTGCAGTTGCACAGCCTAATATGCATGAATTGCATATAATTCTTGGTTTATGATTCATTATTATACAGCCACTTATATTAAGTACTCATTAAATGAATTCTCATATGCATTAAATCTTATATGATTACTAAATATCCTTAGTTTATTAGGTGCTGTAATTCAGGATGATATTTGAATCTGGGTGTATTATCAGCCATATTAATTCGTTGCATTGCATCTCACTGATGTATACTTATTAATATACCATTGTTTTCCAGGAGTAATCAGGTAGTATAAACTGTGATGAGAACTACTAGAGGAAGAAAATTGTCGGACACTGTTACTACATGCAAATACATGCATTTAGCTAAGTAGCCATATCTTTTGCCTGGGCATAAAGTTCTACAAAATTTTGATATCATTTTTATGAACAGGCATCAGTGTTGTTAAAGGCGCCAAGGTTCCAAAACGCCTGAGGTACCATGCGCTCACTTGAGCGAAGCGAGGTGTTCGTCAATATAAAAATGATAACAAATATAATTAAGAAGAAAGTCAATCATTAAAATAAAAAATCTAGCAAAGTATAAATTTTATATAATTTCATATTCAAATTATCACCTTTAAATATCAATTTATATTTATTTAACCATCTACAAAACATTAAAGTATTTGAATTTAATAATAAAAGAACAAAACAAAAGAAATTAACATCAAATTAACAATTCAAAATTCTAGCAGCCGCAATACAATAATTAATATTATTCATAACTTATTATTCATAGGAAACTATTATAAACAAAATTTAATTTTGTTGGGTAGGGGAATGAGAATAGCAGCAGTTCGATTAACAAAAAGGGAAGGCAAGGGAGGGAGGTTGATGACAGGGGAAGGCAAGGATGTAGGCTCAGAGAGAGGGAGGCAAGGGCGAGGGCTAAGAGCAACAAGAGGCGGAGAGGAGTGGAGACTACTAGAAGAAAGAGAGAGGTGGAGAGGAACGTCAAAAGAAAGGGAGAGGCAGACCAGAACCATGTGAAAATGAGAGGGAGAGAGGATGCCATGATAAAGGGAGAGGGAGACATGAAGGAGAAAAGGAAGGAGAGGCGGCGTTGCACCACCAGAGAGAGAGAGAGAGAGAGAGAGAGAGAGAG